CACACACACACACACACACACACACACACACACACACACACGACTAGACCCCCAATGCCAAGTTACAGCTGGCTGCCTCCCACCCCTGCTGGCCCCAGAAGACTTCCTGTCCTCTCCTCTCCTGAGAACCTCATTCTCAAGAAAGATACCTGTTGCTAAGTCAGAGGTCCTGTGCTGAGGCCCCCACCTGGCGGTCACATTGGGAAAAGCACTCCCGGCCAGCCAGGAGAGACTGGAGGTTGAAGTGGCGCCTGGGCTACTGTCCCTACTGTCCCTACTGTCACGTATGTCAGGGGTCACCCTGTAGCAGGAGGAGAGAGACATCACAGACTCAGGCAACTGGGTCAAGTCCTGGCCCAACCTCTAGCAGACCTCCATGGAAGCAGCCAGCAGAAGTGCTCAACCCGGGCCAGGAGGCCAGGGGTCACTGGCAAAGCCTGCGGCCTGAGATGTGCCAACCGCCTGGATGCACTGTCCGGGCATGCAGCCACCTCACCTCATCCTCTCCCCCTCCCCAATGTACAGGGTGGGGGCAGGTTCCATCTGGAGTGTCAGGTGCTGCAGGGAGTTGCATCTGCCTTCCAGCCAGGCACCCGAAAAGGTAAGGAGGAACTTCCTCAAGGCTTAGGGACCTTCGGTCTAGCCCAGGTCCTTCCCACCCACCCCCAGCACCCACACCGAGGCAGAGCAAGAGCAGAGACAGCAGTAGAGACCAGTGGGCTATCTGAGCCCAAATCAGAGATTGGAAGCGACCCAGCCCGCCACTACCAGTCCGTTCTGACTGGAGGCCAACCTCCACAGGGTTTCCAGACTGAACCTTGAAGCCAGCAGACAGCCCCAGCTTCCCCCCAGTGCCAGGGGTGGGAGTGTTTAAACTGTCCACCTTGAACTTAGCAGCTCAACACCTAAGCTACACGGCCATTAGGGCTCCTTAATTAGAGAGGCAGTTCAGCCAGAATAACACCACCCGGCGCTCAACTCCTGGCTCGGTTCGGCTTCACCCCTTCAGTCTAGGCATAAAGCCACACACACACTCCATTCACTTCCCTGAAAGGAACCCAAAGATGTACATTTTGGCCAGTCCTAGCCATCAATTAGAACCACATCAGAATCCTTTCTAAACCAGGATTGGGGTGGGGTGGGGGTGGGGCTGAGAAAAGCAGCACAGACACAAGCACCCCCCCCCACCCCCAGCCACCGTGGCTGTGTGCACTGCCCCACCCCCTGCCGCCCCCAACTCCAGGCAGTCATTCCCAGACTCTGGTTGCCTGAAAAAAGGGTCCCAGGTCAGGCAGAAACACAGGGCGCATGGGAAATGGGAGGGGGCTACTTTATCCAGTCCAATCCCCAGATTGATGAAGCCTCATACTGACATCCTGAGATGGTGCCTTCAACGCACATACAATCTCCAAGTGAATGGGGGTGTCAAGCTCCTGGGTTTTAAGGCCGGACCCCCGCGGCGCAGGTCACAGGCTCACAAACACAGCAGCGGAGCACGCACTGGGCAAGTTGCATAGCCCCGCGCCCCACCCCGCGCCGCCGCCGAGGGGCGCCCGGAGGCCGGGTACTCACACGAGCGCGTGGTAGAGCAGCGCCCAGCCCCGCGGTCTCTCGAGGGCGTCGTAGATCAAAGTTTGGATGCGCCGGTACTTGGCGTTGTTCCTCTTGGCCGGGCGGCTCAGGGGGGTCTTGGCCAGGAGCCCGATGCCCTGCGGGGTCCTCCGCTGGCTCTCCTCGCGGCCGCTGCCCTCCAGGAGCAGGGTCCCGTCTTTGTCAGCGCCGGCCCCGAGCGCCAAGGTGACTTGTTCTATGTCGCCGGGCGCCAGCCCCACTTTCCGCTCCTCGTCGCTGGCCGCCGCCGCGTCCCCCCCGGCCG